GTTTTTTCCCCTTATTATTCCACCTTTCCTTTAACTTCTCCATTATTCCATATCCTGAATTCTGGAATTATGTGGAACAGATTTCTGTTTGCTATATTCCATCCTTTCAGTTATTTGAGGATTGCTATCCTACTACACCAATATAATGGTGTTTATATTTGTTATCCCTCTCCATTCCTATACTTCCATATCATGTTGCTTCCACCATATCCGTACATTACCTCATACCTTGACATTTCTTGAGGATCTAATCAATTTATTCCAACAATGACTTTTTTGGTCTTTCCCTTTTTCTCAACCCTTTTTCCTATATTTCTTCTGAGATTCATTTACTACTGCATGACCAAATTACCTCAACATACTTTTGGCCTGGTTAGTTACCTTTGTATTTAGTCCACATGCATTCAACACCCATTTCTGATTCTATATTTTCTTGTTCTATCAGACACACTTCTTCATCACCCAATTCCCAGTGTACCCATCTCATATTTATATATTTTTCTGATATACCAACTGTCATCTTCATATAATGAAGTGGGAAGGAACACATTCTAATATCAGCCATTTTTCTTTCAACAACATATTTCCTTGCAATAGACGGTATAGTACTCACTATCTGTCTGTAATACTATCTCTAACTATATCTATCTATCTATCTATCTATCTATCTATCTATCTATCTATCTATCATCAGCATTTTCACTTTTTTATTCTTAGTAAGCATTCTACTAAATTAATCTACTTATTGGGGTTTTTTTTCCCATCAATATATAACTTGCAATTGCATTTTTCAGATCCATACTCTTTATTGCATTATACAATCTATTCAACTTTTGCCACAAATAATTCAGATTGTTATAGGACATCATTGGAATGGCATTATCTGTATACAAAAATATGTACATGTTCATGTCCCCAACAATGTATCTCTAACATTACACTAACTTTCCTTATACATTTATCCCTAAAAACATTAAACAACCATAGGGAAACAACCTTGTCTTATCATTTGCTCAATGTTCAACCATTCACTAAGCATTCCAGGTAATTTGATGCATGCTTTACTTCCATGTTATATTAACTTTATCATGTTCAGCAACCAACTTTAAGCTGCATATTTTATGAAAATGTTCTACAATTCAAGTTCCTCAACAAATTTACAACAAATGATGTTTTTCATACAGATATCTCACACAAATATCCAAAAGAGAGAAGTGATAATAATATACAAAAAAGGAGTTTCAGTGGGATATCATTCCATTCAATTTCCAGCTCTTCACTATTGAAAGATTTCCACTGAAGAATATTCTTGATCAGCAAGTTTTTCCAAAAATTATTAATACACAATTGTGTACATAAAATTATTCAAGTGAGAAATACATTCTTAATCCTGGATTTTTTAAAAATGATATAAAATGTAGTTTTAAAAAGCCATTAAACTGCAGTGAATGAGAAATCATACATAAATATAACCATAATTATTATCTTGCTTGCCAACAAAATGTAAAGGCTTACAGAAAGGTTGAAAGTCTAGCCTACCCTATCAAGATAATTTGAATTTTATTTCTACTTTACAGGGTACTAGCCATCTTGCCCAATTAGGGTCAAACACTAATGTGATAAGCAATCTGTCTACTGTACAACTTCAATAACAAGTCATTAAAAATGGTGAAGAGTGCAAGATGCAGGACTGAACTATGTTTGAAGATTCATTGATTAATATCTGAGTGTAATTTTTTTTAACCGGATATGCATTACTTAGAATCACAGAATCAAAATGGTTTACTTTGGTCACTGAGTTCAACTCAGTTTAGTGAGAGAATATGAATATGAGGGTACATATCATATAGATTTTAAAAAAATTCAGCAGATGGCTGCCGAATTTGTGCTTCAGTACTTCCATTCAAAAAAACTCATGCCTTCTTTAGAAAATTTGTTCCACTGTTGACGTGCTCTGTAGTGTGAAGTTTTTCTAACATTTTAAAATATTATTTAGAATTTTATTTTATTTTTTTAATAAGGAGGAAACAAAAGTAAGGACTAAAGGTTTATATTGTGAGTGCAAGGTGGAACATAAAAATAATCAATATCACTAAAAGTAATCCCAGATGCTTGTTGAACTTAAGAAGATTCAAAGGTATGTCTCTAAATCATCAAGTTGAGCCATATGTGAATGCATCAATCTCAGTGTAGAGTGGATTAACCAAACGTCCTTCTGTAACTTGAAGCATTGCAAAAGATATATCACAGAAAAGCATATTCACTTTGTTCATTTGAAAGTATTGAGGCAAACAATAAGAGTATATTGAGAGCTTTTTAGCATAGATTGTCTCAACAAAACACAGCTGTTATGCCATTTTAAGATCTAGCAAAGATCTAGCAGTTCATCTATATTCCATGACTCAAGTCATCCAGTAATCCTTGGGAAGAATAGAGGTGAAGCTTGGATACCAATAAAGGAGAATATTTGTAGCTCAGAGTTGAAATGAGGGATTCCTGAACTTGTCTGTTTTCTTCCAGATATTTCATTACCCAAACTAGATAACATCATCATTGCTAGTAAGAGTGAAGTTTGCTCTCAGTATATATTCTACTATAGTTGCTTGACCTGTCAGTGCTGGTGGGGGTGGTTGTAGAGGTTTTTTAGTTGGGCTGTTTTCTGTTGCCTGTTTGGCAGTTCCTTGATTGAGGTACTTTTTATTTGATTGTTGGTCTGATGTTAATCTTGGAATTAATGTATGCTCTTCTGGGTGCTGATTGTTGATGGGGAGGTGCTTTGTTCCCTTTTTGGTTTATTGATTGTCATTTTTGCATAGTATTTGGATATTATTTATGAGTCTATGGGTAGCTAATTTATCATAGTGCCAGGCATTTTTGGACTTAGTCTACAACGATCACAGTTTCCCAGTTGAAACTATGGTTACCTCTGTCCATATATTGTGAAATTAGAGTTTTCATCATGTCTTCTGACTTCTAGTTGGTGTTCATGGAGGCGTTCTGCCAGTCTTCTGCCTGTTTGTCTTACAGTGGCTATATATGCTGATTCCATGTGGTTGCAGTAGTCTGTTGGTGGTTTCTGAGCTATTCTTGATGTGTTGTAGTGTTATTCTTTTTAGAGCTTGTGTTGGTTGTGCTGTATTGGGTTGAGCGCTCAGGCAATTTTGATAAAATTGTGTGGTTATCCATTTTGTTGGAAGATGTTGTATAGATGCTCTGTTCTTTTTCTTGCTGTTCAGAGTTACTGCAGTGAGTTTATACTCTTTAAATAAAGTTCTTACAGAGCGCCTCTTCTTGGTACACTTGTGTTTCTACTTTGTGGTCTCTACTTTGTGGTCTCTGCTGATCAGGATGTCTAGGAAGGGTGTGAGTTGTTGTTTTCTTCTTCTCTGATAAACTGGATTCCTTCAAAGATGTTGTTGATGGTTTTGTAGATGTTTTCTAATTGGTCCTTTTTATTATGGTGAAGGTGTTGTCCACGTATTTGATCTGTATTTTGGGTTGCATTTGTGGAAATGCTATGGCTTCTAGATGTTGCATAATGACCTCCACTATAAGTTATCTTGAGGTAAGATGGGTAGCCTATAACTTTTATAAATACGGTAAGTAAAAAAGTCCTGAAAGTAGTGACTTCATAGGTGTATCTTTAATTTGTCTGTAAGTTTGTCTGTCAAATTGGAACTATATACGTAGTTAGGCAGAGGTTTATGAAATCCATAATCCTGAATGTTTCAATCTTCATGTATTTGATTAAGTCAAGTATGCTGTGGAGCAATGTAGTCATAGACTCTGGGCTAACTGGATCTAGGAAAATGAAAAGGGCTATGACATCAAATGGGACTATGGTTTTGTCTCTGTTTGAAGGCACTGTAGTAGGGAGTTGATGAAGTGTTTGCTTCCTCTTGTGAGGTGCCCAAGCTTTTTTGTTAATTCTTTTGTGATGTTGTAAGTAGGGGTTCTTGGTAATGATACAATTGGATGGAGAGGTATGTATCAGGCTTGTGTATTCTGGGACCTCTATAGAAGTGTGGAGGATGGATCCAGTGCTTCTCATCCATTGGTAATTTGGCCTTTCTTGGTGAGGTTGGATAGATCAACTCTCTCCCACTGTCTTCCCTAAGAATCCATGTTCTAGGGGTATACTGAAGATAATGTGAGTTTCTTAAACAAAGAAAATGCAGGGGAATAAGAGGAGGTAGGAGCAATTGATAACTTTCTATTGATATTTTTTAATAAATTTGTTGAGTTCCTCAGCTTGTGATTCTCAATTCTACACTTTGGCTTGGGTTCAACTATTAGGAGAAAAATGCACAGAACATGTAATACTCATTTCAAAATGGGAGGCAAAGAATTTTTTAGTATGCATTTTCTATTTCACACGGGTCAAACAATGGATGGGGAGACAAGGTGAGCTACTTCGGAGTGTGTTGATGGCATCCATGCTATCAAATTTTCTCAAAATTAAAATACATCTGCTAATTTTAGAATGTGGCACTTTATCAGCGCGAAATAAGAAATCGATCTTTTCCTTCCAATTCAGTAAGTAATGTGTGTGTGTGTGTGTGTGTGTGTGTGTGTGTGTGTGTGTGTGTGT